CTCCTCCTCCTCCTCCTCCTCCTCCTCCTCCTCCTCCTCCTCCTCCCTCCTCCTCGCGTCTCCACTGCAGGCCGCGTCGTCCATCCTCCAGTCGTCGTCCATCCACCGTCTCGCTCCTCTCGCACTCTCGCACCGCCCGCACCGCCGGTCTGCACGCCGTGGGCCTCTGGAGCTCTCGAGGCCGCGGGCCCGCCCCAGCGCGCGCCGACTGTCCTGGGCCGCGAGGCCTGCCCCCGACAGAGGGCCCGCCACTCTTGCTGCGGCGCCTGGCCTGGAAGCGATGGGCCTGTCTTCCGCCACCACCACCACCCTGAGTTGGAGGGGGGAAGGAGGAGGAGGAGGAGGAGGAGGAGGAGGAGGAGGAGAAGGAGGAGCAGGAGGTGGTGGAGGAGGAGGGGGAGGAGGAGGAGGACCTCCCCCCTCCAACTTATGGTGGTGGTGGTGAAAAACAAGCCCATCATGGAAGGCTGGGCCGCAGCGTGGCCGAAACCGCCACCTTGAAGCCATCGACGAGCTCCGGCCGCGGGAACGGATCCCGACCATGGAAATGACTGCCTACCAGACCACCCCAACCTAACACCCGAAGACCCGAATTTCGGGTTGGGGGGGTACGGGTTCCAGACATGTGTTTTCAATGTTCCCCGACCCCCCCCCACACTGGAAATGGAAGGCAAATCGGGTCCTTCGGGTTGCGTTGGGGTGGTTTGGTGGGCGTTGAGGAGAGAAGAAACGAAAACTCCGCCCCCAGTGGGCAGAAGCCTCCCACCAGCGGGGTACCGGTCGATGCAGCGGTTGGTCGCGACTACCACGATGCCGTCCTTGGCCGCCACGCTTCCCTGGTTGGCGGCGAGCCCGGGGGGGAATGACGAGAGGGGGCGGGCCTTCTCAGACGGCGGCGGGGCTTCTCAGAAGCCCTCGGAACTTCTGAGAAGCCGTCTCCGTCTTCGGAAGAGGCTTAGAAATCCTCTCAGCATAGATGAGAAAAAGCAGCATAAACATGAACTTTGAGAGATAGGCGCGGATTTCTTGGAGCGCCAGGGGCGGCGCTGGAGGCGCCGCCGGGGGGCCCCAGCGCGGATCCAAGAAATCCGCGCGGAGCGCCAAAAGCTTCATGTTTAGACGCAAACCAGGGCCGGCGCACGGGCGACGCACAGGCGACGCACGGACCGAAACTTCAAAGGGAGGGGTCGTAGTACTGGGCCCGATTCCGAGCAGGCCCGCCACCGTCTGAGGAGGCCCGCCCCTCGCACTGCCCCCCCCCCCGCTCGCCGGCCGGCCTTGACGCCCGCGATCTCGTTGGAGGCCACGGTCGCCCACAGCTCCTCTCTGGCTTCGGGAGATCGGCGCCGAAGTGGAGCAGGGGCAGGAGGGGGGGGGAGGGGAGGAGATGGCGAAGGAGGCCTCCTCCTCCTCCTCCTCCCTCCTCCTCCTCCTCCTCCTCCTCCTCCTCCTCCTCCCCTCTCCTCCTCCTCCTCCTCCTCCTCCTCCTCCTCCTCCTCCTGCTCCTCTCTCCTCCTCCTCCATTCTCCCTCTCCATTCCTCCCTCCTCCATTCCTCCTCCTCCATTCCTCCTGCTCCTCCTCCTCTTCCTCCTCCTCCTCCTCCTCCTCCTCCTCCTCCTCCTCCTCCTCCTCCTCCTCCTCCTCCTCCTCCTCCTCCTCCTCCTCCTCCTCCTCCTAGGAGGGAGGGGAAGAGGGAAGGAGGAGGGAAGGGGGGGGGAGAGGACAGCAAGGGGAGGTCAGGGGGTAGGGCGGAGGAGAAAAGGGCGGAGGAGGGAGGGCAGAGGAGGGCACGGGAGGGAAGGGGACGGTGCAGGAGGAGGGGAAGGGGGAGACTTCATGAGGAGGGGAGGGAGCAGGACCTCAGAAGGGAGGAGCAGGCGGAGCTGAATGGGAGAGGGGGGGAGGGCAAGCCAGGTGCGCTCGCGTCATGTCTGACGCCCTGCCCCTCCTTCCCATGCCTTGCCATTGCGTAGGGCCCCTCTCCATTCGCATAGTCGGGTGTCAAAGAAGGCATTGATCCCGAGAGGTTACACGCCACGAGACATAGCATGACATAGCATGGCGTAGGAGAGCAAGGCAGAGCGTAGCATGGCGTAGCATGGCGTGGCACTACGTCAGACAATGCCGATCCAATCATGCTGCCAGCGCTGCAGCGAGAGCGCCACTCCATTGGACGATGGCTCCATGGCAAGTGAGAACTGGCGCCGACGTCGTAATAGCGTGAGTTCCATTTTGAAATGCCAACACAGAGGGACCAGCGCCGAGAGGCGCAAGCCACATGCTGATGCAAGAGCAGAGCCTGCTCCGCGTCCAGAGTGCCAGTCCTTCGGATTGAGGTTCAAGGGCAAATCAGGAATCCGGCTTCATAAATGAGGCCAACGCTGGAGCCGAAGCACCATTCTCAAGGACTCGCTCTTCAGACATGAAGCCACGCTGCAGACGGAACGCTACAGCCTCGGAAAGGTCTCTCCGAACGACGCCACGCGCGCCCATTCCGATTCACAGCGTGTTGAAAAAGTCCACACCCATGCCCACCATTTTGTGACGCAGTCGTGTCACATGTGGACAACAATGGGTATTCAGAAGACCGTGCCATTACCTCGGTTTGTCCACACCCACCACGACTTGTGTTAATTATCCATTCAGTGTCAAAGCAAACGTGACACATCCCATTGTGCGTTGAGACAGCATGGCGCCCGTGCTGGATGTTTTTGTTCAACCGTACAAACCTTTGCGGCTTCTTCACTCCGCGAGCCTCGTAAAGGCTTCTTGGAGCCATCTCCGCGCCATTATGGACGCATTTGGGGCACTCTTGGGATCCTCTTGGAGCTCTCCTTGGGCCTCCTTCGGGGCTCTGGAGGGCCTCTTGGGGCCACAACGCGAAAACACTAAGTTACTATGGGATGTCTTCGGGCAGCAACGTTGATGACGACCGACGACGACGACGACGACGACGACGACGACGACGACGACGACGACGACGACGAAGCGACGAAGCGACGAGAACGCTGTTTGTCGCATGTCTCGGTCTGGCCGACCGTTCTCCCTTGACAGGCGAGAGGTCCCCGGCGCGGGGCTTCCCCCATGCGGTAAGGTGGACTTGGTGCTCCCGCGACGCGGCGGGCGAGCGCTGGCGGCGCAGGCGGCGGCCGCGGCATCGAGGACGCCAGCGGCAGCGGGAGCCGCGCAGGGCGGGCCCAAAGCCACACCGATAGCGGAGTGCGGCGGCAAGGCCGGCGCCGTGTGTCTCGACACGGCGGTGAGACCCCCCCAGGCGCCTCGGCGGTCTCGCGGCGGGAGACGGCGGAGGGGGCCGGGGGACCCCGGTACAGCGCCTGGGGCGGGTGCAGGGGGGGGGCGACCCGGCGCCAGGGGGCGTGGGGCCGCAAGCAGCCCGTAGCGAGGGCGAGCTGGGGGGCCAGAGGAGAACCGGCGCCCCCAGCTGGGTGCTCTATTGGGCGCGAAGCCAGGACGGCCAACAGGGTGGCCGCCAGCGGAGGGGGGGAGACGAGTGAGTGGAAAGCGACAAACGGCTGCAATGTTTGGTAAAGAGAGGAAAGCACGGCGGACAGCGGCGGCGGACGCGACTAACGGTCGCAAGGTGTGGGTTGCAGGCTCTGCGGCGGGCGACCAGAGGTCAGCGTCTCGGGCCTGGGGGGGTTCCCGTCGGCCTCTCACGCTAGGACGGGGCCAGGACGGCAGTGCCCGCCAAGGAACCGATGGGAGCAGGCACGGCGGCGAGACGCGCCGGACGCCCCGGATGTCTCGCAGCGAGGCCGTGGGCAATGCTGCCAGAGCACCCGCAGGCCGTGGGCGTAGCAGTGGGGGCAGGTGTGGGAGCGACCGTAGGCGACGGTGTCGGGGAGCCGTGAGGGCTGCTGTAGGTGCAGCAGCCGGTGTGGCCGTCGGCAACGCCGTGGCGAAGCCGCCGGCGCTGCTGTCGGCGAGGCTGTGGGCGCCGCCGTCGGAGCACCGCTGGTGACGCTGTCGGTGAAGCTGTGTGCGAGGCCGCAGGTGTAGCAGTAGGGCAGCTGTCGGTGCGGCAGTGAGGGCTGCAGTGGGCGCTGTTGTAGGAGCAGCGGTCGGCCCGGCCGTCGAAAACCTCGTCCAGGGCAGCGTGGTATTGAATGACACTGTCGTATCCGTCAGCGTCGTGCCGCTGCTCCCCGTAGTGCTGGCTGGCGTTGCGCTGCTCGCCACGACCACGCTCGAGCTGCTGCTCAGTGTCGTCGTGGAGCTCACCGTGAGGTGGCCGTGGCCGTGGCTCTCCTTGGGGCAGTACTGGTCGTGGCCCTACTGCTCGAGGTCGTGCTGCTAGTCGTCTGAGGCGTACTGCTAGACACCTATTCATTGAAGCCAAGGTAGTGGACGATGCAGTTGTGCTGTTGGTCACGCTCGAGCAGGCCGCCGTGCTGCTGGTGCCGCTCGTACTATGCTCGATGTCGTCGTGGAGTCCACCGCGGAAACGGCCGTGGACGTCGCACTGCTCGAGACCGTATTGGTCGTGACCGTGCTGCCGGAGGTCGCACTGCTGGTCGCCTGAGACGTACTGCTGGACAACGAAGCACTGGAAGTCAAGGTGGTGGGGGATGCAGTGGTGATGCTGGCCACCCTCGAGCTGGCCGTCGTGCTGATGGTGCCGTTCGTACAAGCCGTCTAAGAACTCGTCTGGGTCAGCGTGGTATTGTAAGACCTTGCCGTGTCCGTCAGCGTGGTGCCACTGTTCACCGTGGTGCTGCCCAGACGGTGCTGCTCGACTATGTCGCACTCGAGATCGTACTGCTCGACGTTGCGCTGCGCGACTCGACCACGCTCACGCAGTAGTTCAATGTCAACGTGGAGCTCACCGTGGAAGTGGTCATGGAAGTGGCTGGTGGGGTTACGCGAAGCGGCTAGAATTTGCAAGAGCTTCACGGATTCACATGACTAACATACCAGAAACAGTTATGGAACGATTCTGGATCGCCAGTGCGCATCAGCTACGCTGATCCGCAGTGTTGAAGTCCCAGGAATGGTGTTCTGGTACGATTCAGGATCGAAGACGCAACAGTCAGGTTGATTCGTGGCGTTGCAATCCCGAGAATGGTGTTGTGGCACGCCTCAGGGTCTTCAAACGGTTGTCTCCAAATGGGGCACTTCCTTCAGTGGAAATGAACCCTTGTCGGGGCCTATGAATAAGGATCCTGGAGGAAGGGTTTTACTACAACATCGTTAATGCGTCTTGGGTTTACACTGGTCCTCCTCCTCCTCCTCGACCTCCTCCACTCTCTCTCTCTCTCTCTAGCTCTCTCTCTCTCTCTCTTTCTCTCTCTCTCTCTCTCTCTCTCTCTTTTTCTCTCTCTCTCTCTCTCTCTCTCTCCCTCCTTCTCTTTCCCTCCCTTTCCCTCCCTCTTCCTTCCTCCCTCCCTCTTCCTCTCCCTTGCCCACTCCTCCTCCCGTTGCTGTTTCTTCTCGTCCTTGGATTTCCGACGGCTCCTCTCCAGTCTGGAGGTCGATCGCGAACACGTAGCCCGAGGTCGTGCTTCCTACGAGCATGGGAGGCACCGTCACCGCCTGGCGCGTTGGTGGATGTGCAGAAAGAAAGAGGAGGCGAAGGGAGGAAGGAGGGGATTAAGAGCAAAGCAAGGAGGAGAGAGGAGAGGGAGGAGACCGAGAGGGGGGGGGAAGCGAAGGAGCCCGAAGCAGGGAGGGGGAGCACAGGAGGGAGGCGGGAGCGATGAGCACGGAGCGGGGAGGGAGGGAGGGAGGGAAGGAGGAAGTTGAACGGAGGAGGAGCAAGGAGCGAGGAGCGGGAGGGAGCCGTGAGGAAGGAAATGGGAGCGAGGAGCGAGGAAGGGGACGGGAGGAACGGGGCAGAGGGCAGGGGAGAGACGGGAGAGGGAGAGGGGAGCCGGAGGATGCAGGAACGGAGAGGGCAGGGAGAGGGCGGGGACAGCGGAGGGCGAAGGGCGTGGCAGGAAAGAGACCTGGAGTGGACTGGACAGGCGCGCAGATCCGCATAAAACCCAAATGTCGCTGATATACCATGTTCGCATTGGAAACGTGCCCGTGACGCTAACCCTCCTTAACCTGGGTCGCTCTGCGCGCCTTGTCTTTCCGACCAGCTTCCAGAAAAAGGCTACGGCGTGCCAAAGAGTAGTTGTCCTCTCGCGCTTGCTGGAACCATTTTGCCACGGCGTCCTGCTGGCCTTCAACCCAATCGCGAAAACATAACGCACGGCATCTATTTCCACTACCCTATGCGCAAGGTGGTCCCGGGGAGGTCCTGGTGGGTGGTCCCAGGTCTGAATACCACCCTCCTGGGGCCCATGGCCCCCCCTCTCCCTCCCATTTCCGTCGAGGGCCGAGGCCTCCAGGGTCGGCGGCACCGGCCGTAAGGCCTTAGCAATACAACGCACGGCATCGATTTCCACGACCCTAAACGCAACTCTCTAAATCCAATCTGCTCCTGTCTAGATCACGATCACCATGAAACGAAATGCTTGACCACGACGTTGATGGAGGACAGGAGGGAGGGAGAATGGGGATGAGGGAGAGAAAATTCAAAGGACGGAATGAGGAGGGGGATGCAGGCTATGGAGACGGGCAAGCGACGGATGGTGAACAACAAAAACGACCTGCTCGGGTGATCAGAAAGCGAGTGGAGAGGACGAGTGCTGATAATGAAGACCCATGCAAACACGAGGGCTTCCCGTCGGTCCAGCGCCAGTGAATTCACACCTCCCGCCCACACACCCACCCTCTCTCACCAGCCCTTTAGCGCGTGAGTGGTTTGGAGCGTTTTCTCTTCCAACTCCCCTTCTTCCCCTTCGAGGAAGGGTTTACCCCTCCGCCTACCCCCTCCCGGGAAGGAGGAGGACGTCGTTCGGGACGCGGGGCGGTGCGAGCTGCGCGTCGGAAGGCGGTCGCGAGAGGCCAAAATCGCTGATGTCACTGAGGTTTCGGACCCATTTTGGCCTCCTGGGGGGGGGCTCTAATTTACGCCCCCCCTTCTTTGACCGATTTCATCCAAGATGGCACCAAGATGGCCCCCAAGGCTCCCAGGTGTGCCCCAAGAAGGCCCCAAGAGGCGCCCAGGAGGCCCAAGGAGGCCCCCAAGAGGGCCCCAAGACGCCCCAAGAGGCGCACCAGAGGCTCCAAGAGGCTCCCCAGAAGCAACCAAGACTGTCCAAGAGGCCCCCAGGACCGCCAAGACGCACCCAAAACGCCCCAAGATAACCACAAGAAGCTCTCAAGAGATATCCGAAGAGACTCCGAGAGGCATCCAAGATGCATCTGGCCGTTCTGCTCACCCTGTTCCTCTTCCTCTTCCTCTTCCTCCTCCTCCTCTTCTTCCTCCTCCTCCTCCTCCTCCGCCTCCTCCTCCTCCTCCTCCATCCTTGCTCTCTTATAGATGACTCCTCCCTGTCGAACCCCGAGGCCGGTCGAAAGGGCGGGCCGGGCGTTTCGCCAGAGACTTCCTCACCATTTATGATCCTGAAGCTTAGAAACTGGTAACACGTTCGCAAATGGAGGGCGGGGTTTTTCAAAATGTGGTTTTCGCCTGGACGCCGCACACGTTCGTTATCAACATTTGGAAAGGTTTCACAGATCGAGGGCGGGTCGTTTTCTAAATGTGGTTCTCGCTTTAGCGCCGCGCACATTCGGTGTTAACCACTACAAGAATTTCAACGGTTATCACGGGTACGGTACCCGAAATTGTGTTTTGGAACGACTCGGGACTGTGAGGGCGCAACAGTTACCCCGATTCGCTGTGTTGAAGTCCCAGGAATGGTGTTCTGGCACGACTCAAGATCGTCAAGACGCAACGGTCAGGTTGACTCGTGGCGCTGGAGTCCCGAGAATGGTGTTCTGGCACGCCTCAGGGTCTTCAAACGGTTGTCCCCCAACGAGGCAGTTCCCTCAGTGGAACTGTACCATTGTAGGGCCAGTGACGATGGAGCTTGGAGAGAGGGGTCATTCCAACATCGTTGATGAATCTTGGGTTTGCACTGGTCCTCCTCCTCCTCCTCCTACCCGTCCTCCTCCTCCTCCTCCTCCTCCCCCTCCTCCTCTCGCAAAACCCCGAGGAGGGTTCTGCACGGGAGCTCGGTGACAGCGATGACGACCGGTCACCTTTTTACCTCAGCACGGCGAAGCAAGTCTCGGTAGCTTCAGCCGTTAAATACTTGAGCCAAACGGTAACGGGGACACCTTCACTCCCCAGTCACCTGAATGCTCACATGTTAACACCCCCCCTCGGACGCTAGTCCGTATAGGCGGACGGGGAGGCGTCAACAATCACGAAAACAGGTCAAGCTAGACAAAACGTCGCACGCAAATGACGTTAAGCCTCAAGTCTCTTCATCACACTGTTGAATTCGAAATGTCTCGCGACGGCGCTTACGAGCACCAAGTTTCTCACACATGTAACCTGAGCTCGAGTAAACGCTTTTACTGTCACAAGTTCAAACGAAGCATCTAAAGTTTGCACAGCAAACTAGAATTTGGATGATTTTGGTTGCTTCCGCTTTTTATTCGCCAATACCTGCGGTAACAACAAGAGATGCGCATGCAAACAAACTCAGCTCAACAGGCTGCTGCCACTCGATCGTTAAGCCAAGTTAAGAGGGGAGATGAGGAAGAGCGTGAACTGCAGCACGTTGACTGCCTGCCATCTTTCACGGACGGCGCGGGCGCCTCGCCGACGGGGCCCGTGAACCCCGACCTCGGTAACCCGCGATGGCCCACGCCGGCTGCGGTGTAGGACGACACCCTGTTAAGGGCCTGCATCTGGTTGTAGTAATCGTTGTCCATGTACGCGTTAATGCGCTCCTCGTCGTCAAGCCAGCACCCCTCATCGTGGCTCTTGATTGAGCCGTCAACGATGTTGTGGTAAGTGCCGATGGCTCTCCAGTAACTGGCGTGGGGAGCCTTTAACAGAGGTCCATCGCCTGGATTGTTACGGAGGTGCTCTTCGACCGCAGCGCCGGTAAACGGGTTCACAGTCCAGGCCGGATCGGTAAGCCAGTTGGGGAAGTCGTCGCACGGTAACCAGCCAAACCAGCAAAGCTTCTCACGGTGATCGCTTTTACGCTCGGTGACATGATCGGCCGGCCAATTATCACGGTAAAGTGCCCTCATGCATCCCTGATCGTTAAGGGCAACTTCCAAGACGGTCTGGTGCCAGTAGACTGGAGGCTTGCTCATCCTGCCCTTTAACTCCGCGGTGCTCCTGACCTCGAGGTCGTCGATGTAGTAGTTACGGTAATGCACCTGGAGCCCGTTCATGTAACGGCAGTAAAGCCCGGCAAGATCGGGCGTCGCAAAGCGAACCACGGCAACTCCAGTCGAGATGTAACCGTGCGGCCCATGGGTGTCCTCCACCAGGTGCTTAACGGAGATCACGGCGGGGTTGCCGTGGGGCAGCATTCCTGCCCACGTTAAGAGGAGGCCGTTAAGCTGCTTCTCGCTCATCTCCGGCACCTTGTTGACGTACACTTGCGTGTCCGCGCAACTGTGGTGCTCAAACCACGATGGGTGAAGCTCGTTAAGGTGGAGCGGTGGCACGTAGTCATCGTCAAATAGGGACTGTACGTGCCCAACCGCGTCAACCTATTCATCATGCTTGGCCAACTCTTTGTCCGTTAACTGAGACCTCCAGCTGATCGGACCTTTCAACACGGCATAGCCGATGAAACCGTAAGCGCGTTGGCCGAAGATGTCAACGAACACGTCCTCGTAATCGTTAAGCTCCCGCCCGGTGTTGCCCTGAATGGACCTGCCGCCAGGGGTCGTTAACCCCGCCTTCGCCACGTGCCCGACGAGGTTACCCTCAAACTTGCGCCAGTTATCACGTGTCTTCATCGTTAAGGCTACCACCTCCCCGGGATCAGGTTCCGCCCGAAAGTTAACGTCGTAGTCGTCGTTCCTGTTGTTCAGCATGGACATGCGACCGCTGACGTGGTACAGCGGGCGGTAAGTGGTGTCCTTGGCGACGATCCTGGAGTGCCTCTCAGCCTGATCAGTCGCGCGGTTAACGACCTGAGGCTGCGGTGGCGGGATGCGCTGGAACGGTAACCTCTTGGCCTCTGGAGGCGGGGGCTTCACGCCGGTAACGCTGCTTGCCGCTCTGGACTCGCCGAGCCCCGGAGGGGGCGGCTTGGCCGGCCTCGCGTTTACGACGGGAGCAGGATCCTTTGGCGCCTCATCACGTTGACCACCAACCGTTCGATCCTCGTCCATCTTCATGCCTATCTGCATCAACTCCTCCAGCTCCCGTTGACGTTGACGCATGGCCTTCGGCGCCCGCTTGTAAGCAGGCTGTGGCTCTTTCTTCACCGCCCTGCCGGCTCAACGGTGACGCTCGAATCTTGTTCGGTGACACGGACCGCCGACTCCCCCCGGCTTTAGCGGTCACGCCGGCCAGGTCCTGAGTAGGGGGAGCCTTGCCTGGCGGAGCCACGTTAACCTGCTGCGCTGGGGGCGCGCCCGTGGCCATGGGCCCGGCTGCCGCGGTGGCGGCAACGGGCGGCGCCTTGGCGGGCGCTGCCGTCGGGGGCGACCAAGGCAAC